GCATGCCTGGCCAGGACAAGACACCCCTGGAGCTTGATGGCCGTCAACTTGAAGAAGTAGACAGCTTTAAATATCACGGGGCGAGGATGCTACCGAATAGACAGAGTAAGGACGGTATTGTCTCCAGATTCGATTCTGTTCACCGGGTTTTCTCAATCTTCCAAAAGCGCCTGTGGACCCGACGCGACATCTCTGTCGCCATGAAGATCCGCATGTACCGTGCATCCGTCCGGTCAGTCCTCCTCTATGGGTGTGAATGCTGGACTTTGCACATTGAAGTTGAGCGAAGGCTGCTACCTGAAGACCATCATTCGAATGAAGTACAACGCCTTCGTCTCAAATGAGACAATCTGTATTTTCCGCAACTGTATCTGGACGATATCTCGGGCTACCCAAGAAAGACGACTGAGGTGGGAGGGGCACGTTCACCGTCATCTGCCTCATGAGCTCAGTTGTACTGCCCTCAATCTGGCGCGGCGGCCCCCTAGTGGCGTCGAAGAGGAGGGCAACTCAGGACATCGTTCGTCAAGACACGAAAACGGCTCTTGGGCCTTTAGTTTTCGGTCTCCGTCGCCGGATAAGAAAATGGGTTGAGCTTTCCAGATCCGCTAATACGTGGGAAGATACTGTCCTTGACATCATTGAGGCGTGCTAGATCAGGCATATTCACAGCCGTATCAAGTACAGGTACCACAGGAATTTCTCCACGTAATACACCTGATGGGAAGCGGACGACGGACACGATTATTCCACTGCGACTCCAACCACAGGGATTTAGACAAAGGTCGCGTGATCCCGCTTGTATTCCGCCACGCAGAGGTAGATAATGAGCAACAAAAGAGCAGCTCAAAGTCCTTTTCTCGGGCTTGGTTATAATACGAGGTAGATGACGAAGCAAGCAGAAACCATCACTATTAGTTGACGCACCGACGCCGCTACCACCACCACTGAATGGTGGCAACTATACCAGGCTCAGGTAACCGCACACAAAAATAGTAAGGCGGCTTTCCGTATTCGACATTATTTTTTTCCGGTGTTCCGAACCCTGGCTTAAATAGCACACAGATGGTAAGAAATAGTTAGCCCGCAGTTGATTCAAACAAAGTGCCCACTAACAATCAGTTAACAGTCTGACGTTAAGTGCTGGTCTAAATGCACGTTAAAAGATTCAGTGACTGAGAAGAAGCAGATGTGATCTGTGGAAAAATTAATTCACTCTGGAGCTGTCTATAAGACTTGGTGCAGTTGCGGGCAAAGCAACTACGTCGGAAGAACTGGAAGACTTCTTAAGACGCGAATTGCTGAACACGCGGCAGCAGTGTGAATAAATGGCGACAATATCCAAGTTGAGGCTCATTCGACCACACCCGGCCACATATTAAGATTTGATGAGGCCGAAATTCTCGTGATA